GGGAGTAATTGTCGCAGGCCGGGACAAGGCAGGAATCGATGAAACAATCCGATTCAGGAACGTTTTTTAAAACTCTCAACATTAAGACAACGTTTCGTAAGAGCTCGGACCCTTCAAATTCAGCTCAGAGACACTAATGGTCTAATAAGTTTGAAACGACTGACACTGACCACAAGCATGGTACAAAAAGAATACAAGGTATGATCGATAGCGGCTCCAATTTCGTTCAGTTCGCGCATACCACCTGTGACGTCACTAGGAAAACAATGAATAAATAAAAAATAAAGAAAGTTGACAGGAGATCTGTATTTTTTGGGGTTATGGTTAAGAATTGTTTATTTTTAAGACTTTTTAGTTCGTTTAATTTAATAATTACTAAAACCAGCAGTTCCAAAATATATTTAAAAAATAATAATTATCTATTAACATGGATTTGGACGATAATAGGTAAGAATACTAAATTTATTTCTATATTCGGTATAAAATTGTTTATTAGGTTTTTAGTTTGCGATGTTTATGGTAAATAATTTTCATGTTCATTGCCTCTGAATTCACATGAGGACAGAGATGAGGATATCTATGGACAAGTAACCACAAGAGGAATTGTTACATCATTTAAAAAATGTTGGAAAGTTTATTCTTTCCCATCGAACAGTAGAAAATGCCAATGCAGATGAATGTATTGTAATTGTGATAGAAGTAATTCCAAGGGTGAAGTTTATTATAATTAGTGGAAGTAATTCCAAGGGTGAAGTTTGTTATAATTAGTGACCTGTGCTTCTTTTTATATGTAGATGTTTCAGGTTTTGAGAATAAATCGGTTGAACGAAACCCAAAATTTAGAGGAAGATGCGCATCAAGGATTATATAGCTCAAATTTCCTTTAATGGTAGGCAATTATTCAATGCAAATTAACTTTTTAAGTGACTGAAATATTAAATAGTTTACAATATATATCAAGGTATATCACTAAAAAATATATTTTACTTTTTAGGTACAATTAGGGCCCGATACATTTCAAAAGTAGAATATTATTTTATATTAAATAAGTATTGTACCAACAATCAATTTATATTAATACCGGAGATTAAAAAATCACAGAATAAATAGTTCTTTTTTTATACTATAAAAAATCAACTATAGAATACAACAGTATTTAAAAAATAAATAAAAAGTTATGTCCCGGCCGAGATTCGAACTCCGGTCTCTCGCTTCCCTAACCCGACTCTTATGCACTGCTCCACAGTAACTTGCCCCAGGCGGGTTCTCACTTGTCAGTTCGCTGACGCAGTCTGACTGATTCATTATCAATGAAAAATAAAAAACAACGATTGTATTCACACGTTTCATGTTTTGCTACATTCAGTATTCAGTTGGTCCAAACATTCTAATGTGGTGATTTCGTATAGACATGAAAATGGTTAAAACAAAAATTAAAACCAGGTGTTCGCGAAGTTTGTTTACAATTAGCAAATGAATTACAGAATATTCTGGTGAATCAGAAAGAAAAAAAAACGTCGTTGGTGGTCAGGTCCTCGATATTGCAAAGAAATAAACGGGGTGAAACTATATTAAAAGAATTAATTAACTTAACTTGTAAACTGCACAAATCACGAAAATGTAGTTCTCACGCTTCAGTTTCTATTCATTATTCGATAATGATCAGTCAAAATGAAAAAAAGTAGAACTGGTTTTCACTTTAACTGAAAGTACGAATGTACTGATCATTTAACATGAAAATGTGTTCTGACGTTCATTGTTTGTTCAGTATCACTGAATCAGTCAGACTGCGTCAGCGAAACTGACAAGTGAGAACCCGCCTTTAGAGATAATTCAATGACGGTATATAAACAAAAAAACAGGTTTGTAACAATATCTTAACGATTTGAACTGGCGCGCGAGGCGTGCTGACCAATAGCGCCTGTTATCACCTGTGACGTAGCAACCAACCTGCGCAATATCATACCTTGTATTCTTTGTACCATGGACCACAAGCATCTCTATTTGACATTTACTGGTAATCCGTGTTTTTCCATAGCCCGCTACTTACTTTAGTGAGTAAAATGGAAAAATGTTAATTAAAACCAATATTAAATCATGTCATCCTATAAAATGTTGTTTCTCGTGTAATAAGGAAGATAATGGAGTAAATAAAAAAATAAATTGTAAAAAAAGATAAGGCTAAAATGTGATTTCAATTTTAACTTGATACTGTAACTGATCAACTCTACAGGGTGTCACAACTTTTATTAAAAAAACACGTTATAATTGCTACACCCGGTATTAGTATAAAAAGGGTTCCTATCAAAATACAGTTAGAATAGCAACATTGTGGAAAGAATAACTTATCATTCAAAAAAAAATCGTCTAAATCGGATAAGTGGTTTTGACAAAAACTTAACTTAAACTTTTGGTTGTTTTTTTGTTGTGCGTTAATTTATGGGGGAAGTGTATTTATTATATCATTTTTAAAAGATTTTTAGTTTAATAATTAATATTTTAGAAATTAATTAATTTATTTGTTTTATAACATATTTCACTTATTACATATTGCCAAAACTAGTTCATTATGAAGATTATTCTAAGCGTTATTATAGGGTTATTTATTTATTTATTGATAAAACTTACAACACCACAAGTGGTAATAACAAATAAGAGGGTGACATTAATGCACAAAGAAATAATCACAGAATTTGCTAAAAACTTACGCAGAAATAACTTTGAAAATGGCTTAATGTGCTTGCCAATCAAACTTACTTCTCTGACTGCAGTCAAGGGTTATAAAGCACCTTTATTGTCACGTTCTCGTTCAAAATAGTTTATCAGGAAAGCTACAAGCCCTTTGCTTCTACTGTTTAAATGCTTCAGCATATTTTCAACACACAATTTCAAGAAATGCAATACAAAAACTCGAAAATTTATTTTATAAAAAACTGTTTGTGCTTGAAAGTACAATTTTTAAAAAAAGACTACGAACATAGGCGAAAAACGAGAATTACTCACAAAGATTCAACAACACGATATTATACAAAATAATGACTGACAATATGATAATTGTCAAATAATAAACGGCAACATAGCGATAATAAAATTCTGTTTAAACTAATTTTTGCAGCTTTAAACTAAATAAAATATCTGTTCCAATCATTTTCTCTATAAAGTAAAATAAAGAGCTGCACGGTATCTTAAGTTATACAACAAATTTAAACATATTTGCCAAAATTTCATTTAGTCAGGTTTATACAGGGTTGTTCACCACATACGACACGGAGTATTGTAGCTAAACGATGAAATTTTTACAAATTGTAAGTTTTGGGTTCCATGAAGGACTATTAGAGGTACAATTTAAAAATAATTTTCAAGGCTTCATTTCTCCAAGGGTATCAAAGTTTTTAATACTAAATATTTACTGAAGTTTATTTACTGATCAGTTATTGTGTTGCAATAATAAAAATAATACTACCTTATACAGAGTGCCTAAAAATTTATTTTAAATAATTATTAGCTTCAAACGGCAATAACTTGTTTAATTTAAACGGAACACCTTGTATATCAGATGCACAATTTAATTGTCTATCAAATTATATTATACCATTTTTTACCTATCTCTTTAAGTTTCCGTAGAAAATGCATTTTCTTGTAATTTAGAACTTATTTATCAATATACCCATGGAATATTGACATTTTAGATTATTTTTAAAGATGTACCAAATTTTTAAAGAGTACAGATAGTAATATTGTCGATATAATTTGTTTATTTTATTAAAAAATAAAAAAACTGTTTAAATATTTGTTAAAGGGGACCAATTAATATGATTCCAGTATTCAAACTACATTAACTGACTGTTTGCGTTGATCAATAATAATTGCTCCAAATACTAAAAAACTGAATTTTGTATGGGTATTAGACAGTGTGATAAAAAGAAACACCTTAAAAATGATATTTCATTTTTTAATAAATTCTTATTTATAACAACAGAGACTTTAATTTGATAACTTATTATTATATTGATTTCTGACTCAAATCCACATTTATTTAGAATAATTTATTAACAAACACAATTAAGTATGTAATTAATTAGTATATGGGCGGAAATAATGGTGTTATATTTAATTAATGGTATACTCTTTTATAAAGATTTAAATAGTTTTCTTTTTGCATACAAATGGGCTAGTAATATTATCGTTTGGCTAAAAACGATAATATTACTAGCCTGTACATTTTGTACATTTGTTGCTTTAAAAACAATCTAAAATGTCAATATTCCATAAGTATATTGATAAATAGGGTCTAAATTATAAGAAAATGCATTTTCTACGAAAACTTGAAGTGATAGGTAAAAAATGGTATAATACAATTTGATAGACAATTAAATTGTGCATCTGATTCTCCTAAAATATACAGGGCGTTCCATTTAAATTAAAGAAGTTATTGGCGTTTAAAGCTAGAAATTATTTAAAATAAATTTTTACACACTCTGTATAAGGTAGTATTATTTTTATTATTGCAACACAATAACTGATCAATAAATAAACTTCAGTAAATATTTAGTATTAAAAACTTTGATACCCTTGGAGAAATGAAGCCTTGAAATTTTTACTGCAATTTCCCAAAATTGAAAATATTTCAAAAACGGTAAGGTTTAAGTATAATAAACCTTAATCAAATTTACCTTTATTTTAATCGTAGAAACTAAAAATGTAATAATATACAGGGTGTTCCATTTAAAAAAATACAACTTTGATATTTTTTACTTATTTGGGACACTATGTGTCTTGTCAAATTATTTTTAAATTGTAATAAATAGTAATTGTGATTGATGACGTGCATTGGGAAATGTTTTGCGATTACTGCATTTTTGTAATTTTCCTTTAAAAATGTAGTTTTTTCATATAAAGTCACGTCAATTTTGGCATGGATGCGATATTGAACTTTATACTACTTAAATCTGGTACTACTCAATCCACTCTTACCTTAAAATCCCCTCCACTAAGCACCTTTACAGCTTGGTTTGGTAATTATCATCAGGATTCGTATTCCCCATACCCCTACTTCCCCCACCACCAGCAGAAGAAACAGAACTCCTCAATTTATCAACTTCACAAGCCGGAATATCATCATCCGCTTCTAGGGCTGGGTTAATCCTACCATTCCTTTCATCCTTACCCACCAAGGTAGCTGCTCCGTACAGTTTACCCATAGCTCCAGACGTCATGACCGACATCTGCTCCCCTTCTTCGGCTGGTTCGCCAACCCTCTGGATATCCTCGGGAATATTAACCACGCAGTGCATGAAATCGTACCCTGGAGCAAGCATACCTTTCTCAAAGATATATTTTGAACCCCAGGATACCAGGACCAAGCTTATGAGTGATAGAAGCATCGCCATGGTTCTGAACGGAAACTTCTGTACTTGGTTGGCTTCGTCGTATCCTGGATAGTGTATGAGAGCTGGTAGATGCATCAGGGGTTCACCTCCTGATACCCTGACTAAGAAGGCTATGATATAGGCTGCGAGACTACCGTACGTATTGCAGTAGTCTTTAAAATGGACCACCATAAGAAGCTGGGGGAATAAGATCACGTAGACCAGGTCAGAACAAATTGACCTAAAAGAAAAATGAATCTGAAGAATCTATAGACAGTAATATCAAAAAAACTCACCATAATCCATAGATTGAAGGTATAGTAAGTGCCATAATAGTCGCCAAAACACCCACAATCAAAATGGATAACCTCATCACCCAGATGATCTCCATTTCTGAAGCTTTCTGTCTGAAAATCAGTCTGTAAATGTTTCTGGCAAACATGGAGCTTGCTGACAGAACGCTGGAGTCAGCCGATGACATCACAGCCGCTGAGACAGCCCCCAATCCAAAGAATGATACGAAACTAGGAGTTAAATGTTGCAAAACCATTGGCAGGATCATGCCAGTTTCATCGGCAGTCAAAGGATATGGACCAGTGTATCCAGTTTCATTCCAAGCTATGAAATACATGATTTTACAAAATCTACAAAATTCAACAATTTACGTAACAAATTTCAAGGAATTTATTACGAGTAGAAAAAATATTGTGCTGGGATGGCGTTGGTTTCTATGTAATTTGACAAATAAATAAAGCTGTCTCTTTAGTTGTCAGTTTTGTGTCAATAATTTTTAATTCTCTTTCGTGTCGATTGCTGATTGAATTGGAGCTAGAAATTGCTCAAAACGAAATAAGTAAATTACTAACAGATATTCAGGCTGAGGCAACAAACGCCATATCCAAACACTTCCATTTAAATCCCGAATAACTTTTGAAAAGGAATTCAAAAATTTTTAAAAATGGAAGCAATTAAAAAACGTGCGTGAAGAGATAAAGTTTTTTAACCTATTCTCGCTGTTAAATTATCATTTAATCTACCCTTGATGGTTAAACTACTATTTTATCTACTATTCTTGATAGATATAAGGCAATTTTAACAATTGCCATAAAAAAAAAGAATATAGTTACTCTTACCAGTTCCTCTAGCTATAGCACCAATAAGAACGGGAGGTATTGCCATAATGACACATCCAAAAGCAGCTACGTAGCTCAAAACCTGAGCCCGATCAGCTGACTTGCTTGAGAGTACTCTCTGAAAGTACGCTTGCCAAGGGATACCTCCCAGGATCAGTAACAGTCCGTTATCAATATAAGACCACAGATCCTCTCTTCCAACGCCCCCAATCCAATCCACGTCCATATTTGACAGTGATTGGACGTGTTCGTTGGTCCAAGCAAATGGGATGCACATCCACAAGCCGGCAAAGATGCAGAAGAGTTGGATGACATCGGTGTAAGCCACTGCGTAGAGCCCTCCAAATAGAGTATACATCACTGCAATGAAAGCACTGAAAATGATGCTGGTTTTGTGGTCCATGTCGATGATCACTGACAGGGTTGCGCCCAAGGCTGCAAGAATACCGGCTGCCCAGAAGACCTAGCAAAAAAATGGATTTACTTTAGTATACCGAGTTATGCTCAAGACATACCGTGCTGGCAACTGTTACTTTTGGGTCAGTATTTATATATGTGGAAGTAAATCGCATAGGGATCTTATTAAGTCGGAGTGAGAGAAATGCGACGGTGTGCTGTTGCGGCGTTGCCACATTTCTCCGGTACACCTTTCTCGAATCAAGTAAAGTAAAACCACGATCGCAAACCGCTTATTTTTAAAAGACTTTTTTCTCGAAAAGATAACTATTACAGTTGATAAATCACCACAATACACCAAAACACTTTTACTTTTACACTGGACGCGCGTTTCGCTAACCAAGTTAGCATCATCAGCAGGTGATTATAAACTAAAATACAATCTACAATTGGAGCGTTTATATACTCGCTCAGTGTATCGCAAAATCTAGCCAACCGAGTCTGAACCCACCCAGCGTAACAGTTAGATTTCCGCCACTGGAGTAGTAGGAACAAAGAACTTGAAGGAATTGGACCGTTGTCTCAGTTCATACTATCTTTACATTTATTAATTCTGATGCTTTCATATGCATCTAACTGCCTGTAATTTGAGACTTGTTTAATTAATTTCAAGTTATTAAGATCTATACAATGTTCTTTATCAACAATATGGTCGGCAACGCAAGATTTATCCGGTCTACCATATCTTATCTGAGCTAAATGTTCTTTAAATATAGTTAATATTGATCTTCTAGTTTGCCCAACATATTTCTGATTTTTACAAGAAATTTCATAAATACCCGACCCTTCCAGTAGAGGTGTTTTATCCTTTGGATTACCTAATAATTGTTGTAATTTATTATTAGCTTAAAAATTCCTTTTAGACCACGGGATGACTGTCTATCAAACGGTATTGAAAAATATTTTGACGTATCTTTCTCCACTTGAAAGGTCGAATTTTCAGAAATCATTAACCTGTACCTACGTTTTCTAATTATTTTATCAACTAGTGAAGGAGAATATCCATTACACTCAGTTACACTCCTAATGTAATCTCTTTCTATTTCATATCTTTCGTTGGAAAGTGGAAAACTAAGTAATCTATAATAAATATAATGATAAAATCATTAGATATGTTTCTGAGCATTTGAAATGGAATTATAAGGATATCGTTAAGGTGTCCATTTTTTTATAACAAGAAGACGCCAGTAATCGCGCGTCAAGAACCAATTTAGATATTGAAACTTTTTTTTATTTCGAAGTTCGGATCTTTTACAAGATATTTATATGAAAAAAAATCGATAGGCTTGTTTTTTTTTCATTCAAAAATTTAAAAAAACCATCCATTTACTTTTAGTGCATCGCAATTTTCAGCAATCGTGTAACTTTTTTATTTGTAAAGATTTTCACATATTGTCTGCGAAGAAAATATAGCAGAAATACTAAGTAAGTTTTTGAAAAAAAACTACAATCAATTATTTCTAATGGATTTCGAGATATCGATTTTTAAATTCAGAGTTCTAATAGCGCGACCACTGTCAAACACCAACTCAATTCCACTTATTTTTTGCCAAAAGTGCGAGTGTTTCTAACCACGTCTCTTAGCAATGTGCTCAGTTTCTCGGTTTATTTCATACGTTTAGCAACGTTTTGTTCGGTACATTATAAACGCATTGTACTCTTCTTACATACGGAAATCTCGACCCAAGACGAACCTTTGCCAGCCTTTAGTATAGGAAATCACATATAAATCTTAAAAATATTGTATTATCATTGTGTATTATCATTTAATTAATGTTGATTGACTTTCTTTTGAATTAAATACTTCATGATACAAAAAAATATTTTAGACTTCAATGGTACAAAAATGTATCAACGTCAATATAAACATAGTTTACAAAGGTTACCTCTCCACACAAAGCTGGTAGAAACAGTAATCCCCCCATTCGTTCTCCAAAAGTGTCCTGGAGGGGATCCAACATGGTGATGTAACCTTGCTGTCTCATTTTGTTGGCGAAGAATAAACCTCCAAAAACCAAACTCAGGGCATATCCAAAAGGAGCTTGACACCAGACCAATCCAGATGTATATACTGCCTCAGCTGTACCATTGATATAACCACCACCAACCCATGTAGCTACAGAAGACAAAGAAACGCTTAATTTTTGATTTGATCGGTCAAAAAAAATAATTTTTAGATGTTATTGCTTTGGATAAGATTGGATCAAGCAGGAATTACCTGTCATAGTGAATATTCCTACAAACAGTCCGATGTTTCTGCCTGCTAACATGACCTCCTCTTCGGTATTGTTGCCAGATTCTTTCTTTTTTGCCGCCCATATTCCCACAACCAAAATGAAGATGTAGAAAATGATGATGGAGAGGACTCCAGCTATGTTGATCATGATGACGGCTAGTAAGTCTCTTTATTTCCTTAAAAACATGGTAAAAATAGACTTATATATTATGAATTACCGTCTTTTTGGATAGTATATTATTAATTCAGGATTGAATAGGTAATGAATTAACTTCAAATAGATTGATGGGTTATTTTCTACTAGCACGCAAAACGTTGAATACAAATATCATTACCTTTATGACCTGTATTGATTTATATACTGGAACTTATATGGAATGACTCTTTATTTCTGACTAAATATCTTGCAAGGATAAAAATTAGTATACAACTTTAAGATGAGGCTTTTTGTTGTAAATAAACATGATAATAAAGAATAAACGATTGCTGCGATTTATTTTCTTTGAATTTTGTGTTCAGAAGTAAAATCACGATTGTCCACTAATTTTCTTTTTTTTTGTCCACTAATTTTCATTTATTGATTCCTTTCCAAACAAGTTTCAAGTTGTATTATTTCAAAAATATTATTATTTACTCTGGACTATATAAACTACACTAATTATTATTGTATCGATTCCTCTGCAAATACCAACCCCGTATAGGAGGGATGAAACGTTATAAACCCTCGGGAAATACCCGGCCTGGAACAACAGCCGATGTAGTTTTACCTGAGGACCGTAAAATCGATAGGTTGTTTAAAATTCATTCATGAGCACGGAGGCCGAACAAAAATGAGGTTGCGAGCCTGGAATTTCTCGTTTAAAGTGTTTTTTTGAAAGAGATAAAAGAGAAATTTGCATGTGATTTAAATATAAGAGCAATTAAATAAGTTTATATTTGTAGGGTTTGGTCAGAAAGAAAGTGCGTATCATAATTTTAAAAGTTATGAGTTCATAAAAATTTTTGAATCTAAATCGAGAGTTTATTGATGTTGATATCATAATTTCAAAAGTTATGAATTCAAAAATACTCCAGAGATTTTCAGTCTAAATGAAGAGTATTGTAAGTATAATAAAACCTTTATTAGGGGACATTATTTATAGTTATTTGACTTTTGTTAACAATAAATAATATTACATTAGGAATAAAAATGTTGCAAGTAAAATTTATTTAGAGATATGGAAACATTGACTGTAGGTACAGTATGAATATTATAGTTTTAATATTTGTAAAAGTTTAGATTGTGTAAAAATAATCAATATTTCTCTTCGCTAAAAAAATCGCAGAAAAAAAGATTATAGAAAAATGAACATATACAGGGTGTTTCAAAACAAATGCGAAAAACTTCAGGGGGTGATTCCTTGTTCAAAATAAAGGGTAGTTTGCCTTATAAACGTTGGGTCAAAAGTTAACCATTAGGGAGATATCGCGGTACAAAGATGGCGGAAAAATAATGTTTTTATTTTTTATCTTGAAAACGAAAAGAGATAGACTGACGAAATTTTACGGAAGCATTACTGTTATGAAAACACACTTTCTGGTAATTTTTTGACTTTTTTAAAATGAGTAGAAGGGGTTGAAATAAACTACCACTATCATTCTTGTTAATGAAACTTAAAGAAAAATCTTATCAAACACATGCAAAAAAAATTAATTTTGATAGCTTAGTTTATTTAGAAACTTTTTTATCTCTTGTGTTTTTTTGATAAAACTCACCGATTCGAAATTAAAAAATAAAATGTAAAGCATTACATGTCAGGACAAAAAACATTTTTAGATAAAGAATCTAGTGGGCAGCTGTAAGTTTTTTAGGAAAAAATCTAGTCGGCCGCTGTCACTTTTAAGGATGTTTCTAATATTGTTTTATTTGACATTACCCTACTGCAATACGTTATTATCTAGATTATTATTATTATCATTATTATCACTAGATTCTTAATCTAAAAATATTTTTAGTCCTGACATGTAATGCTTTACATTTTATTTTTTAATTTCAAATCGGTGAGTTTTATAAAAAAAATACAAGAGATAAAAAAGTTTCTAAACAAACTAAACTATCCAAATCAATTTTTTTGCATGTGTTTGATAGGATTTTTCTTTAAATTTCTTTAACAAGAATGATAGGGGTAGTTTATTTCAACCCCTTCCACTCATTTTAAAAAAGTGAAAAAATTACCAGAAAGTGTGTTTTCATAACAGTAATGCTTCCATAAAACTTCATTAGTCTATCTCGTTTCGTTTTCAAGATAAAAAATAAGAACATTATTTTTCCGCCATCTTTCTACCGCGATATCTCCCTAATGGTTGACTTTTGACCTAACGTTTATGAAGCAAACTACCCTTTATTTCGAACAAGGAATCACCCCCTGAAGTTTTTCGCATTTGTTTTGAAACACCCTGTATAAATAAATACTTGAAATAAAATGTAAACAAAAATACTGAAAACAAATGATAACAACTGTCAAAGTGGTTAGACTCATTCATTCCAAATCATTCGGTCAATCAGTCATCTGTACTAAAAAAGTAGGAGACTAAAAAAGAACTATGAAAAATGATATTGCAGCATTTTTGTATATTATATCAACTATAGCCAGTAACTTCTACATAAGATATGAATAAAAAACAATTAAAACATCTAAATTGACATCTTATACTAACATAATAAAAATCAAAATGAAAACACTAAATCACCACAATACACCAAAACACTTTTACTTTTACACTGGACGCGCGTTTCGCTAACCATGTTAGCATCATCAGCAGATGATTATAAACTATTTTCAGTTTCAATCAAATCAAACCAAAGGTTCCAACCCTCAACTGTAATAATAAAAATCAAAAATTAATTATACTCACCCCCGAAAAATGTATAACAACAATCTATCACGATATTGTATCAGAAATCGATGATCCTCTGTGACTGATCAGTCTCCCAACCTACGTCAGACGTAGTCCCCCAACAACCCCTTTACAGCAGTCTCCCCAACGCAGAGAAGTCTTTTGCGATGGACTATTCTTCGTTCTAAATCTTGTCGGCAACATCTGCCCCTTGTACCCGCACCACCATCTATAAACTATGCAGTACCTCAAGCAAAAACCCTAACTAGAGGTACAGAAACCCGGTTCGAAGGACCGAAACAGACTGAACCCTCCGAAAAAGCGGTATCGATCTACCGCCGGTGACGTCACGGGAATAATAAAGCAGTGGGCGGTCGTAGGGTATGAGGGCGTGGCCTAGAATCGCCCACGTACCCTCAAGGTCACCGGGAAGGACGAATGTACGGTCTGGCTGAAGATTTAACGGCGAGGAGGGGGAATATTTTGGAGGGGGTAAGTTAAAAAAAGTTGTTCTGGGTTTTGTGCATATTTTCCGAATGCCCTGAAGTCTAATTAATGTATGTCTGAGCTATTTTTAACCGAACTTTTGAGAAAAACCGGTGTTGCTAATGTAAAATAACCATATGTCTCGAAATATTTAAGTTTAATACAAAAAATTCTTTTAAATGTTATTTTATATTGTTTTCTAATAAATGATAGTTATATGGCATCAAAATTGTAATATTATATCAAGTGAAGGGCTTAAAAATGACTTGCAGGGCCATCTATGAAGAGTTGTGTTAAATTCGTACTTATAAACCACACTAAAAGAGGTCTCTACTGATCGTAGGGTCTGCAACTAGCATTGCACACACTTCTAATGATTTTTTTCCTTTAGATATTTGCTGGTTGTAAATTATACCTTTTATGAATACTAATTAAATGTGTTTGAGCTATTTTACCCTAACTTTTTGAAAAAAATACAGTGTTTCTGATGTAAGGAAATCGAAAAATTATGTCTCGAAAAATTCAAGTTCAAACTAAAAATCTCTTACATCATAAATGACCCAAATACAAAATATTTTCTCATGGTGTCTGTCTGTCTGTGTGTCCGTCTGTAACACGATAACTCAAAAACCGCTAAACCGATTTTAACTAAATTTGGCACAAAAATACTGTGGCACCCGAGAATCTGGCCATTAGTTTTTGGTAGAGGTGGGGGGTTGGTAAGGGGGTATGGGAACGGGTTAAAAATTTAAAAAAATCGTAACTCCAAAATTACAGTAGCTAGCGAAACGCGGTTTTCAATTTAAGATTAGGAATAATATTTGCAACAAAATTTATAATAACATCAAAATCAGTCAAAGTCGCAGTTTTTGAGATAAAAAAAATTGAAAAAAATCCTTTACTTTGAAACTAAACGAACTGAGCGTTCAGAGCCATCTAACGCAACGAGTTTGAACTACATGCTTCTAGACAAAAAGGAGAGCTTCCTAGTTTAGAAAAATTAAACTTCCGTTAGCTGTCTATAGGTGTCGCCGTTCAAAAATACTTTGATCAATAGAAACTTTTATTGATCAATTATATTTTAAGTACATATTTAGATACAAATATCGATAATGCCTTGATATTTTAGTTAAAAGTCAGATAGCGCTATACTATTTCTATAAATATTCTACCGTATGATCGGGAAAAAAACGGCGTCAACGACTGTGGCTTGACCTGGCCAAAATTATCATCGATGGTCACCTCCCAGCCGTCTTCGACGCCGTTTTTTATTTTCCATCGTATGGTACTCTATAAAATCAAATAAAATTTCACCAAAATATTTTTTAATGCATATATTTAACAACCAACACATTTAGAACGTGTTTACACGACAACACTTTTTATCAGGAATGATTTATCTTTTTATTAAATAAGTATAAATATTTTACAACAGATTGTTGTAATAAAAAATCAATAATATCTTATACAGGCTGTCTCATAAATAAATAAACAAATAAAACATATAATTATTTGGTCTCTATCTACCACCCCTTAAAACACTTGCACTTATTTAAGACACACCCTGTATAAATTATTACATAGACAGTTCATATTCTACATTCAGCTAAAAAATCAATCTACCCTTGTATCAGAATGACATAAAAATGACAATCTGTCTCTGTCAGGTATGTATTCTTTAGCTGTACTGAGTATAGATTTTTTTTAATTTTCATAGAATAATGGACACTTATAGCAATAAGCAACATCACAGTTTAATACAATCAGACAGTTGGACAGATATAGTAGTTTTTTGTTAAAATTTCTCCAGAATATTTTT